TTTTCTTCAGCTTTAAGTTGCGAGATGGATACTTCGGCCTCTAATCGGCTTACGTTACGGTTAGAGATTTCGGCTCTTCCACGCTATCCCGAGTGAACATAAAACTTAGTCTTAACCAAAAGGCCAGGGAGTGAGGGGGTAGCCGCCCACTAGAGCTTTCCTTTAGCTACCCTCTTAGACCATCGTACTATGAAGACACTTATAGATATTTAATATCTAATTGGGGTAGTCTATTCGGTGAAGATCTATGCTAATATATGACGTCACCAAAATCCAAAGGGAGTAGCGAGCCAATCAGAGCTCAGGAATTAGCAAACGATACAGACATAATCATTCTTCAGTAGATTTATTATTTGACAGGGGTGGGTGGGGTGAGTGCCGAGTGCTTGTTTGCGGCCGAATACCGATGTTCGGTGTAATGTGACGGCTTTCACCAAGCTGTTCAATTCATTGTCGTTATTATTGTGCAAATCATCACATTTTAAATTAGTTTTACAGTTCTTATATCAGACAGGCATTACTAGTATTCGGATAAAAACACGAAAAAATCTCTTGAAATTCTTAAGACCGATACTAGCTGTTGCCAAAGATTTGCCGGGATTCAACTAGACACAATTAAGACCTCTGAAACTCCAACATTACACTCGAACGCTCCACATTTCGATGAAGTTTACAAATGGATCAATATTGATCATCAAATGATTATTGAATATAAAATAGTGAATACTAATAATTGAGGAGAATGAATGATAATCCGTATAAATCGTATAATCAAATTAAAAATTATTTCGACTCCCGGACATATAGTCTTTCGTGACATTCTGTACGGGAGTTCGCCCAGAGACGTGAAAAATCTAAGTGCCAAGTCGATTGTATACCGATGCCGAGCGGCGAAGAAGCTTTAAATTGTCAACTGAATTTGGTCAAAAGGAAGACTATCTACACCTAAATACAGTAAAGTATCTTTGATTAGACGAGATTTACATTTTACTGTGATTTTGTTCAATTATTTTGACGGTTTTCAACCATTCCCATGAGAGTGAGCAAAACAAAAAGGTCCACCAGTCACGGTGGTGGTTTTCTTTTGTCAGGTCCACCAGCAATGGCAGACATCTTTTGTTTAACTTTCACCTTAATCCAAAATGGCTGACTAGCCCTTGATGTCTCGTTTTCATGAAATTGTTCTTTTCTTTTAAAGTTACTCAAGCTCAAAGACAAAAGAATATTTTTATGAAAATGAGACATCAAGGGCTAGTCAGCCATTTTGGAATAAGGTGTATTAGAGAGGGGGGTATATGGTGTGCAACAGACAGTAAACTTTTAGATTTCGAAACTACAGGATATCGAAATGATAAACTTTCGCCCATTCCTCATCACATGTTAAAATAGTGTTCAGGGGTAGACATCGAGCGCCTTGGGTCCGTCTATCTCCTCCCCCGAACAATCTGTGCGCTAATATTTGCCTGGGCCGGACCTCATCGTCACCTTTTGTATGTTTATTTTTTTTCTATTCTTTTTTTCTTCAGCTTTAAATTGCGAGCTGGATACTTCTGGCTGTACACATCTCTATCTATTC